TTTTTGCGTCAGTTCTTTGTTGTGATTCTCAATCTTCTGGTCCAGTTTACAGTTTTATTCGTTTGGTCTCTTTGCTCGTCCTAGTTTTTCATCTAATCTTGCTATTGTCTTGCAAGTATTTTGCCTGTTTTATTTGCTTTTTTTTCAGTTTTCCGTATTGCTATCGCTCAGTTTTGTAGTTATTTTATTTTCACTTTGTATTTATTTAATTTTTGTTTTGCAGTACCGCTTTAGTTTGTTTCAGATCGCATGCCATCGCTTCGTTTCAGTTGTAGAAAGGCTAGATTCAGCAAAGGCCGCGTCTTTAGTTTCTCTTCTTTTACCTTTTGCCCATAGTGGCTGGACTTCGTATTACCATCAGTATATGTGATTCCTTGCTCCAGACGAAATTATTATGATATTTGCTACTGTCTGCGCTGTTGCATGGGTTAGAAGGGATCCTGAGACTTAAGGATTGTTACCCGGTCTTTTCACGATTTTCAAAAAAATTGTAATTTATTCGGAACATAGAGGGAAACAAATAAAGTTCCGATATAGAATACAACTTGAGCTTGACGTCTCGTTTCGTTTTCCACTTCTGCTGTTGTTTTTTTCGGCTCTCTACAGTTTTCCTCATTGAATTTAAAATATGGGAAACCATTGCACGCAAATTTTCGAGATTTTGTTTCAAGTTTTCTAAGGCAAAAATTCATTCTCCTTTAGTCTCTGAATTATTCTCTACACTCGAAGACTTTGTCGGAAAGCCTGATGCGGATGGAGGAGAATATTACATCATGGGTGATTTCAACTGTAATATGCTTCCAGCGTCTTTTTATAACGCTAATACTCATGCAAGCTCTGTTAAATATCACCGATAATTACAATTTGAAACAGCTTATTACTGAGCCAACAAGAATTACGCCATAGAGTAACACCCTAATCGATGTTATTTTTACTAATCTTCCAGACAATACTACTTGTTCTGGGGTGTCTCATATTGGAATTAGGGATCACAGATTGATCGTCGTCAAGATTTCGTCACCTCCTGTTATCAAGGGAACTAGCACTATTACTTATTACGCCGGGCAAACAGAGAGCGAAATACGGCCTCGAACAATGTCGTCTGTTTTCATAGGCGCGTGCGGTTTCGTCGACTGGGAGACTGGACATGAGTGAAATTCTCCCAGAGGGCCTACCAGAGGTACCCCCACTTTGTCGGCGTTTTGCTCATCCCATGATGCAAATGGAGTCAAAGAACAGCCATGAGCAGATTTTTCGTGAATCAAGCTTTAATTTGATACCAAACATGGCCAATATTATGACTTTAAAAGTTGTCCTTCTAGAGTAGAGCCTAAAAGGTCCCACAGATGTTCGTTTTAAAGGTGTTAGTACTCGTGAATATCTGTGGTCTTCTCGTTCAAAAGGCTTTTTTATTGTGGAACGTCCAGTGAACCTGCCAGGAAAAAAAAAGTGAGTCTGTTGACTGGGTAAGAGTCCTATGTTTTTTTATTCGTCGTTAAACTTCAGAATTTCACGCTTTTAGCTTTTTTTAATGGTTGCCGCTCACCTAGTCTATTGCAAATATGTTCGATGAGTTGTCTCGGCTGAACACCTATTTTGTTTGGTGCAAGTTGTTCTCAGATTGACTGAGGAACTAGCCAAGGATGCCTTTCCAAAAAAAATATGCTGAGTCGATTTAATGTTAGCAAGTTCATGAAGGAAAAGAAGGAGATTCGAGAGCAACAAGCAGCAACCCATGAGTCCATAGCAGAGGAAAAGCTTAAGCTTTCGGCGGCTCAAGCCAAACTGAGGCGGCTCAAAGGAAAAGTAAGTTTTACTTCTAGCTTGCTTGCAAATTCTCTGTTTTACCAATTTAACCCCAATATCCACCTACACTGTACAAATTCTCCAAACTGATCTCCATACATTTCCTCAAAGAATTAGCTGAGAGAAATTAATATTAAAGGTCAAACCATTGTCCCTTTGGTAATTATTATTCATTCTCAGAATCTTTTCTTTTGATTGTGTATTGATATTGTTAAGAGAAAACTGATGTTGGTCACTCTCAAGACTTGTAGTGGCCTGGTCGCCAAGTGACCATGAAATGTATGAAAATGAATTTGCACACCCTTTTAGTACAGTCGGCTCATTGTCATACTACCTTTCAGAAACAACAAATTGATCAGGATCAATTCCCAACTGTATAGGGTCTAGCAGCGTAAGAAACGGCTCCATAATATCATGTACTATTGTATACTGTAGGCACGTATTGTCTCTGTTTTTGTAAGCTATTTAAATGTGAAATGGTATGATTTTGCTGCATGTGCCTATTCAGTACTCTGAAAGCAACAATACATGTAGGTTTCAGTTGAAGTCTTATGTGTCATACAACTACAAGGTATACACTTCTGTGGTGCATTACTTTGCAACTTTAGCTGGGGAGAGTTGCAGGGTTGTGGAAATAGGGTAGCACACTGTGCATATCACTCTCTACTCTGAATTACACATACGCTGCTTTGCT